TGACCTTTCCGACGAGAGCGACTAAGATGTAACTAAAATGCGGCTTGGGAGCTTCCACAATCCACGACGCGATGGACGCGGCGTTGCGCCCGTCGGAGAGGCGCTGGGCCAACAAAGACAAAGGGGTATCAGAGCGCGTTGGGTGCCGCGAGCAGGACAATCTTGGGCACCCACCTCGTCCTTTTTGGACACGACCCAAATGGCCCTGGCAGCCGGCGCGTCGACAATGAGCGCTTAGACGAAGCACTCGCAGCAGTGGATGCTATTGGGGGGAGAGTGATACAAATCAGCATCGTGTTCTGCAAGCTGCAAGACAATGACAAGAACTCTTGAGGGAGGTGGGTGGAGGCAAACGCTCACCAACACTCGCACGCCTCCTCAGCCACGCAGCAGCAGCACACGGCGGCGATACAGACCATGAAGCAGTTCTTGCTGCCACCTTTCTTGCCGTGCGAGTCTTCGGGAGGAGGACCCTGCTGGTACTGCATCGGCTGCTGGCCCTGCTGAGGGTAGCCCTGTTGGTAGCCGCCCTGAGGGGGACCGTAGCTCTGCATTTCCGAAGAGATCTGCGTCAGCGTTCGAACGCGGGCAAAAAGCGACAAGCAGAGGGGAGACGCGGATCCTCGGCCGCCTAGGTGGGATGGCTTACAGGCTGGGGAGGGCCGTAGTACTCGTTGCTGGCCATGGCGGACGCGATTCGACGGCTGGAGCTTCGTGCGTGATTGATTCTGGAGCGGTTGAGCGGGGGAGGCCGAGCGACACGACGGACAAGGAGAAAGAGAGAAAAGAGCGAATGTGTGCTCAAGAACGCAGGGAGGGCCGCTTGGCTCTTTTGTTTGTTTGAGAAATTCGGCCACGAGCGAACGGGGGCGGAGGGAGGATGCAGGAGGATGGCAGTGCAGAACAGGGCCAGCACAGTGGAGTGAAGGTCCACGGCCCTTGGCGGACTGGCAGCTCATCCTGCGGGCGGGCTGGGATTCGCTCCGGAGGCGCCTTGGTGCCCGCTACTGAAATGTGTTCCCATTTCCACAGCGACCATCACGGCCTCGAGAGACGCCTAATCATATCGCTGAAGCCACGAAAGGCCACGATGGAAGAGGCCCTGGAACCTAACACAGTTCTTTAGGCCTCGCTGATTGCCAATGACATCGACCTCTGTGAGCAGGCGTTGGCCATGACTGATAATGCACAAACGGTCACTTGAACTACCACACACATTGTCTGATGGGAGCCAATGTACTGTAATGTAATGTACTTTACTTACGCCCGGATGGGTTAACCCTAAAGGGCCATAATTAACGGTGCGCTAGTTGCTCATACTGCCCTGAAGGCCATACACCTGAAGCCCAACACTGGTTTTCTCACCTTCCTTTGTCATCATACTTTCTTGGCATGCAATTGTTAAGAAAGTAGCGTATTTTACACAAATTCGCCTAGTTACCATACCGGACCATTCCGATCACTGCAACGGCAATATGCAGTCTCACAGAGGACTTCTAGAGGATGGCTGAGAGCGCTGGCGAGTGAGCACCGAGGCGTTCGGTGGCCGAGCCAGTGGCGACTAAGTGGTCAAAGCAGATTCGTGGTCAAGGCTGTAATTATCGTGCGCACGGCACCAGACCTGGACCAGTGTGATGCCATGAGACTCCACATCGGGGACAAGAGAAGACATTTACCTGGTTGCGACGGTGATAACAGAGATAGACGGCATTGAACGATTTAAACGCACTTACGTATCAGACGCGTCCTTTAGCCGGACTACGGTCGGTTATTGTGCCTCGGGGTCGCCGATGTGCTGACGGTCGCTTCGTTGCCTACTTGTCACGCAAAAGCCCGGCGATCGATCTTGACACCAACGCAAGGTACAGTACAGAACTTGAAGGATGAATTTTTTCAACTATAAGATTAAGTTCCGTACGTTTGCGTTGGTGCCGAAATCAATATCTTTGTCCAGTGCTGGCCCGTGTGGACGAGGCCCGTAGTATCCGGTATAGGAATGGACGCCTCTCAGCTCACGTATTTCTGATACTCGTGGCTGCTGCGTCTGCGCCGGCGGTATCATGTAAACCGTGTCTGCTTTGCCCAACAGCTTGCTGATTTTGCGATACGCAGATTCGGTGTACTGCAGGTCATGGAATCGTTGAGACATTCGTACAGTCCGTGACGACGCCCTACCTCCCGCCTCCAATCAACGAATGTGTCGACCTAATGTGCGCCATGACGTCGGCGTCCTAACAACCATCCCAGTCGCTTTGAATCAGACCTCAAAAAAGGTGGGCGGCATCAGATCGATAATGCCTGGTGACTTCGACCCTCAGCTTTGCTGCGAATCGAGGGTCGCGATCGGCCTGTCGAAGCGGACGAGTCGGATCAGACAAGATCCCGCCGCGAAACGTCATGCTTTAATGGTATCAAAAACGCACACCATGGACTGTGCGCCCGCGATAAGAGCCGAGAAAATATCTAATTAGTTCAAGTAGTTATAACGTGCGTTATCAGCGAGTGGACCATATCAGCGAGTGGACCACTTTTCACCACAACGCGGCATTCCACACTTAAACGTTGAATTTCTCCACAACGCGTCATGGTCTCGCATTCGAACGAAAATCGGATTCTTCTTGCTATAGCTGCTCTTGAAAGAGACCCAAAGTTAACCGTTCGAGCCGCGGCAAAGATCTATGGCGTCCCTCGTACGACTGTTATTCGGC